ATCACCAGTCAGTTGATGGTTGGTTTAATCACCATCTAGTGTTGTTTATGTTTTAATTCTCTCCTATAGCATGGTCTCAAAGAAGCCCACTGAGCTAGAAATTTCAGTTCCCCACAGGAAGGATAGCAAGCATCAGGATTGCTAATTGCTCCATAGAATGCAAACACTTGTCTACCATCTAATAAAAAAATCTGTGCCATATGACTTGCTATAGGATGCAAGCTGTCATTCCAACAATTGCTGTAAGGTGAACTTGAAGAGACTTGAGACTTCTGTCCCTTTCATCCTTGGCCAACAGTTGTGATGTTATATTTACAGATGAATGAGAAAGAGCTCTGATCATTGCTGGAAGAAGCTGGAGCAGCTGCAGGAGGTATCGCAGTCCTTTACACTAATACATGACACTGTAAACTGAAGAGGCTGAGGAGAAGATAAGAATGCCATTCAACCAAAATCGTTAAGTAGGATGGTAATCCTCAGTGCGTGCAAAAAGAAGGCACCTGGAACAGTAACAAAATGCATCTGACATGACTGAAAAAGATCACAGGACTGAAAGGACGACTAATCCCACCCTGCTCTAAGTAAGGTCAATTAGAGCGGGAGGCTTATTCCTGAAGATAAGATATCAGGGTCTCATCACAAATAGCCTAGCACTCTAGACAGCATTTTACAACTCAGCATTAATCTTTGTCAGTGCAGGAGTAGCTCAGTTCAGCTTAAGGCAAAAACACATTTCATTTTTCACATGACAGGTTTGCAGAAATTCAAGTCTGCAGTTTGGGACTATTTGGTAAATGTCTTCGATCAATATATTATATGTATTGATTAAATAAATTCTAATTGAAAGGGCATGAAGGTTTCAGACAACTTTCATTTGCCTCCTAATGTGTTGGGTTTTTAAAATTTGATGGTGTAAAATTATACTTAATGTTTAAAAAATCTTAAAGCAGTTTTCTTCTGATTAATTAACAGAGGAATGTAATATAGGTTAAGATGATATGTAGGACAAAGAATTTAGTGCAATACTTAGAAGAATGTCTTCTCAGACAGTCTTGTCCATTTTATGGTAAAGTGAATTAAGAGTCAGATTTAATCCTCACATTAGTGAATACCAACAGATTTGAGAGAAACCCATTCAGGCCTTATTTACATGATTTCTGGTTTTATTTCAAATGTCAGATCATAAAAAACCTTCTAGGGATTGGAGTTCCTGCTGAGAAACTCAGGTCAAAGAAAGTGACTTTTGTCTAAATGTATTAAGAAATAGTGTTAGTGCTTAAAGCAATGTGTTACTATTTTATATAACTATATTTACCAGTGTCTTTTACTGGTGGAAGAAAATTCATTGGTAATATTGACTCAAGAAGGAAAAAACAAGAGAGTATTACTTCACATTTGCTGCAAGTGAACTGAAATTCCATCTCATTGAAGAGCTTGGCTACATTTTAAATAGAAACAGAACACAGATTTAGCATTTACCAAGACAGGGAGGGTTATTCCTTTCCAGAGGAATGTTTTCCTTTTATCTGATACAGGATATCCAGTCACAGTATCGAAATGTGAACAATCTGGGGCTTTAGAGACTTATTTTTTTATTAACCCTTATAAGGTTGTGTGATCCTGATACACTCTAGTACTTTACATAGGCATTAAGAAAGTAACAATCATTTTAGTTCATTAACTGAACAAAAATATCAAAATACCAAATGCTGAGTGGTTTAATTGGAACTGATTTCCTTTGCTAAAAATATAAACGTACTTGCCTCCTCTTCCCATTTTATATAGTGCTCCCCTAGCTGTGTTGTAAAATCTTCTCCAACCATTGCCCAACTATTTTCTTTCCAATGACACAGATATTCACACTTGTTTTCCTCTTGAACCTTAGGATCAGTAATCTGCACTCTGCTTTCTGACTATCAGCCACCTCCCTGCCAACTGAGTGTGATTCTTTTCTGAACAGCCCTTCTTGGGCACCCATAACTTACTTCCTATACCCCTCAATTTACCTTTCCTAATTAGTCATTTAGTGTATTTTGGAGGATCCCTCAAACCACACAGTCATGATCTGGACAATGAGACCCTCAGAAATTCTGAGGAGAGTGTAAATTAGAGGTGGTGTTGGACACCAGGCAGAGCTACCATGTGTGGGGAAGCTCAGCGGACTGAGAGGGACCACATGGATTTGAGCACAGGCAAATGCATGTCCTGCCCTGGTTGGCACAGAGCAAGCTCCTGCACCAGCACAGATTGGGAGCTGCCCAAGGAAACCTGGTGCACAAAGCTGATCATGAATCATACTTGCAGCCTGGTGGCAAAAAAGGGCATAAGGGTGGTCACAGATTGGAAAGAGATGCACAATGAAGCTGTAAAATTTCAATTCTTGCAGGTAGTCAAAATCCAGCTGTACAAGAACTTGAGCAACTTGGTGTAAGCTGGGCTAGCTTTAAGCAGGGGATTGAGTGGATAACCTCAGATGTTCCTTCCAAACTATTTTGTTCCATTATTCTATAGCTGTCCTGTTATTGTGGTAAAATTTACACAGCCATCCACTTTAGGGTTTTACATATTAAAATTATAACTTTAATGTCTGCAACCTAGAACTAGTTCATATTGAAATATTTTAGCATCACTACTGTATAGACATAAAAATAAGAAAAGAAAAATACTGTATATTTTTTTTCCTGCTTCTTCCTTATTACTATCCCTCATATTCCTATCTAGGCTACAGTGCTCAGAATCAATGTCAAATATGATCTTGAATATTAT